ATACACATAGTTTCACATCTTTGGCAGGCTCAATATTATTAGCCTTTTACATCATTTGCCAATCTGATAGGTGAAAAAAAAAGCCAGTATCTCGCTTTGTTTTTATGTACATTTCAATATTTGACTACTAATGAGATTGAGTACCTGTTGTTAGTCTTTCTTGGGTTTTAATCCTTACTTTAAGACCCATCTTTAATTTACCGTCCCTGTGAGGTCTCCTTTCATTTCACTCCTCCTTTCCACCCCAGGCAATTTCTTTCTCTCAATTTGCTCACATAGTATTTTGTATATACCTGTGTTGTAAGCAATTGTAATCATTGTATTATAGTTGCTATTTTTTTTTTTTTTTTTAGAGACAGAGTCTCCCTCTGTCACCCAGCCTGGAGTGCAGTGGCACTATCATAGCTAACTGTAACCTCAGATGCCTGGGCTCAGTGATCCTCCTGCCTCAGCCTCCAGAGTAGCTAGGACTACAGGTGTGTGCCACCAAGCCTGGCTGATTTTTTTATTTTTAACTTTTTGTAGAGGCAGGGCTATGTTGTTGCCAGGCTAGTCTTGAACTCCTGGCCTCAAGTGATCCGCCTGCCTCAGCCTCCCAAAGTGCTAGGATTACAGGTGTGGTCCACCACGCCCAGCTCATGTATTACGATTATTTACTTATCTGTTTATATTATATACCAGACCAGGGGTTCCTCTCTAGGGTTGTGATCATGTGATATTTATGTCTCTTCTCAATATCTAGCACAGGGCCTATAGTGCTTAGTATATGCTTAGGAAACTTCATTGAATGGTTAGTCTGATTCCCAATTAAGGGTCTACTCCTAAGGTTTGCTGCTTTCCTTCTGTTTTGGGTGTGGGGGTTGTTAATGCTGTTGGTCGTAGTTCAACTCCTGCATTTTACAAACTAGGTCTAAAGGAGAAAGGACTGAGGAATGTCTTGTTTGGTTAATGAGATGTTTTTATTTCTTTATCACACCCTTCTAGGTGTTGTGAAACATAGGAAAACTCCAAACTGGAAGGTACTTACAGTCAAGGACAGTTGTTGATTTTTACAATCTGAGATAGATGAGGTGTATTTCTCTCAGTTTTTACAGACCAAGCCTGACCACTGAGGTTTTTGCTTGATTGTTTTATCATGGAGCTTTAAGCCAACACAATTCATCCCATTCACTTGGCTCCTTCCAAAGAGGTCTGAATCTTCTTACAAACTAGAAACAGATTCTCTTCTAATTGGAGGTATTCCAGGCACTGGGTGATTCTTGAGAGGCCTAATGTCTTCTCTTCCAGAGAACTCTTGGGACCTGTCCTCAGAGCTACCTTCCCATGAAGTAGCTCCCCACTAAGCCTCATTTCAGCATTGCCTTTTCCTGCTCAAGATAGAAGTATAAGCTTTCCTCTCATTCTTGTTCCTCCACTTGTTCTTCCTATCCTTTTCAAACATTTCTCTCCCTTGTTCTAAGGTTAACATATTCACTTGCATCTTGAAATTCTTTACCAAATGTTACTTTTATCTTTGCTTTAGATAACACCTATCCTTTCCCTGAGGGAAAGCTCTCTCTAGTGGAGCTCGTGTCTTCTTTTACTCCCTACATCTCAGCGTAGGAAAGGCACTGCATTGTCTGTAAAACCTTCCTGTTAAAATTATGGTTAAGTCTAATGTAGTTGGGATATACGTCTTCTACCTTTCTTCATGGCTGTCACCTGCTGACCTCTTTCTTGGCCATATCCTCTTACTCGTTGAAGATGTAGGCATCAGCCTCACAGTCTTTCCATACAAGATTGTGCCACTATTCCAGGTGAATTTAGTGTTAATGTGAACAGATTGCCCAGGACCTTGGCTTTATAGTTTCCTAATTTCATCATCTCTAGTGGTCTTTCTTTTCCACTTAATTCATTCACTTAATCCCAAGGAGCTACTCTGGATGTCATCATTACTTGAAATCAGCTTTACTTTTAAAATCATAAATTTAAAACATCCTGCTCCTAGTTCTGACTCTAATCACTATCCTTTCACGAAATCTATTCGTCGACACTTGAGATTTGCAGTTCCTTGACATCTCTAAATGCTTTCTTTAGAAGCAGGCAAGAATCCATTGTGTGTCACTTCAGACCTCTTGCCAGAATTCTCAGTTTACTTGGGCTGATGCATTTCCATCATATGCATCTGGCAAAACCTAGGTTCTAGATCAGTTTGTCTCTTTGGCCTACGCTAAAGGTGATGAATAAAAATCACACAATTACCCAGCATTAGTGGTACTGTAAATTCATGATCTCTAGTCCCTGAAAGAGCTGTCAGGGCTGCAGGACAGTTCTTTTCATTCTCCATAGGGACTATTTTAAACATTTTTTTCCTTCCTTTACACTTAAGAAACAAAGTATCCTCCAGATGGTCTTCCTACTTGATGGGAAAGAAAATAGAAGGCGTCTAAAGGAGATCCCTTGGATTTCCTGTTGCTTGACTCACCTGTCTACCTCCTCCGTACCATTTGTTCTTTCTTTCCTTTGTCAGTGGATGAGATGTCCATCATGCTGTCTCAGGCTGATTCTCCAGATGTGCTCTGGTCTCATTCTTTCCTTCCTACTGATTAACTGTTGGTCTTTAATCTCTCTCTTAATTCTGACTCTTTCTCATCTTACTAATAAATATGTTCAAATGTCTCACAAAAACAAACCAAAATACCCCAGGAAAGAAATCTCAGTTCTTTCTAGCTTCTGCTTCCCCTCACCAGCAAAAGAAAGCCCCAAACTTGTCTACTTCTCTTTTGTCTCACATTTTATTCACTCCTCAATACAATGTAATCTGTCTTCTCCCATCACTTACTAAAACTGCTTGCTCCAAGATCATCTGGACTTCCTTGCTGCTAAAACCGTCATCTGGTAGAATGTTTGGAAAGAAGTACTTGACACTTCTCAAATTGGCTTCTGCGACGGTACACAGAGCATCTCTAGCTGTTTCTCCTCAGGCTTCTTTGCTACCTCCTCTTCCTCTGCTAAATGGGAATGTTCCTCACTTGTTTTTGTTTGATAATGCATTTGCTGCCTTATTGGTTTTGCATCTTTTTCCAGGACTTTCTTTATCATTTGTATATTGATGACTTCCATTTTGTCCATTTGAAAGCCTGCCTTTGAGCTTCAGGCTCACACATCCAGCTACCCACTAGGCATCTCCATTTGGATGTACTGTGGACACTTAGAGATCAGCATATCCACAGCTATATTCTTTTTCCCCCTTTGCTTCCAAATCTGCTTCATTTTTCGTGGTCTTAGACTCAGTGATTGTTTCTACTACCCATCTAGCTTGGATCAAACCCAAAATCTGGGTGTCTGTTGTTATGCTTGACCTCACATTCAGTCACTGGATCCTGTCAGTGTAAGCTCCTAAAAATTATTCACTTCTCTCCTACCTCCTGCTACTTCCCTACTTCAAGTGACTGTCATACTATTTCTAGATTATTATGGTATTCTCTTGCCCAGTGTTCTTTCCTCCAGCTTTTCTAGTCCTATCCATTTTCTCCTCTCCAGCCCAGACTACTTATTATAAAATGCAAATCTTATCACATTACTCTGTAACTTAACGTACTTAAATGGCTAATTTCCCATTCATTCAGGGAAAAGTTAAAAATTGTAGTAATTTCCCACAAAATTGTTCATGATCTGACTTCTACTGAATTTTCCAGCCCTATCTCTTGCCACTTACTCCCTCCCTTCTCCCAGATCCATCCCTATTAATAACTTACTTGACAGCTGTACTGTTTTCCTTACCATCTTTAAGAGTTTTTTTTTTTTTTAAATGTATAGATCCCTCTGCTTAAAATGCAGACTCCCCAAATATTACTGTTATGCAGTGTGTGGAAAAACTTCTGTAGCTATTGTATTTAGTCTGATTTGAAGTCAGATTCTGGAAGGAAAAGACAAATATGTACAGTCATCCCTCAGTATCCAAGGGGGATTGGTTCCAGAACCTACGTGAGTACCAAAATCCATGCATGCTCATTTTTTTGCTGTTGTCCCTGTGGAACCTGTGGATCCGGAAAGTAGGCCCTTGGTATCTGTGGGTTTCATCTGGTTGCGGATGTGGAACTCACTGATACAGAGGGTCAGCTGTATTTATTGAAAAAAATCTGCATATAAGTGAACTCGAGTAGTTCAAGGGTCAACTGTATTTACAGTAATGTCTTTCAGAAACTGACCTATTTATGTATTTAATTATAATGGACAGTTGGTTTATATTAATAGAACTCAAAGAGGATTTCCTTAGAGATGTGTTTCAAGGAGAAATGGCTAATATGAACTAATGCTTCTTGTGAGCATTTCTGTTATGTAAAGTGTGGATAAAATAGTTGGCTAATGGAAAAATGGTAATGCAGATGCTGGACATAAAAATTATTTAAACTGGAGAAAATGACTAGGTATTTTAAATGATAGACCTTTTAATAGATATTTTAATGATAAGTACTTGAAACTATCACATTGAGTAGAGGTTTTTATGGCATACCATTAAAGTTCTTGTCATTAATAATAATAATAATATTAGCAAGACATGTATTTCTTACTACGTGCCAGGCACTGTTCTGAAGTGCTTTACTAATTTGTTAGATTTCTGTTTGATTTTTGCAGTGGCATAAAAATAACATGCTTTTCAGATTAGCTTCGTTTACTTGGTAATATGCATTTAAGTTTCCTCCGTGTCTTTTCATGGCTTGATAGCTCATTTTTTAAAAATGTTGAATAGTATTCCATTGTCTGGATGTACCGTAGTTTATTTATCCATTCACCTACTGAAAGACATTTGGTTTCTTCCAAGTTTTGGCAATTATGAATAAAGCCGCTATCAACATCTGTGTGCAGTTTTTTGTGTGACGTAAGTTTTTTACTCCTTTGGGTTAATACCAAGGAGTGTGATGCTGGATTGTACAGTAAGAGTATGATTACAACTGTGTGATGTTTTGGACAAAGACAACAGTAGGGAAACAAAAAGATTGGTGATTATTAGAGGAGAGGGAGGGTTGAACAGGTGAAGCACAGAAGATTTTTAGGGCAGTGAAAATACTATATATGACACTGTAATGTTGAATATATGTTGTTATACATTTGTCTGAACCCATAGGATGTGCAACACTAAAGTGGATCCTACTGTGAACTTTGGACTTTGGGTGGTAATGATGCGTCAGTGTAGCAGGTTCATCAGTTGTAACAAATATTCTGGTAGGGGATGTTGAAAAGCGGGGAGGTGATATACGAGACATCTCTGTACCTTTCAATTTTGCTGTGAACCTGAAACTGATCTAAAAAATAAAGTCTTTAAAGAAAACAACATACTCTTTCAAAATATTCCGTACTTGAAAAAAAAAATTCTGTACTTGGTAATACTTAAAGAATTCAGATATGGTTTAAAACATTTCTAAAAAATTATGACCCCTTCTGGGTAGAATAGAGTTGCACACTTTTTGCAAACATAATGAGAAATCTGTTACCTGTCAGTATTAAAGTCATATTAAAGTTAAAAAGTCTGAGTAGCATATATCTAACAGTATATTCTCTCACCCAGTTCTTTCAATAAAGGTTTACACGTTCTGTAGCTAAAAGATTTATTATCTTTTAGGTTTAATGTCGTATTGAGCATACCCTGTCTTATTTGACATAATCTGTGAACTGTGTAGGGCAGATGTTATTCTTCATATTTTTATGAATGAACAGGAAACTGAGGTTTGGAGAGGTTAAATAATTTGTCCAATGTAATGCAGCTAATATAAGAATCAGTATCTTTAGATTTCTAGGATTGTGTTCTTTTCTCATTATCATGCTTATTTTCTGAGGTAAAACCTCAAGCTCTGTATAAGAAATTGGTAGCTGTTATTTTTGGATAAGCTGGATGGATATCTTAGAAAAGTAATGAATAGTTCTAAATGTTTTAACATTAAAAGGGTTTCAAATTTCAGAATATTTGTTAAACCAGCGATTTTTCAACATTTTCACCCTAAGATATTCTCTCAGCTTCAGGTTAATCTTTTTTACTCTTCTTCAAAAGAGTACTGTTTGTTTTTTCACGTTTACAAGTGGAGAGAGCATTTAACTGTATGATCCACACTTATTGGAGGTCTACAGTATGATGGATACATCAAGAACAGTACCTTATTTAATGATCACTTTTTATTTATGTGTCTTTTAAGGATTTGTGTGGAACATTTGAATATGGATGTGTGTGGAATTCTGCAGAGTATTAAATCTTAAAATAGTAAAGCTGCAGTCTGAATCCTGGACTTTTATCTGTTTAGTTTTCCCTTTTTTTGGCACTGACTTTTTTTCATTGCTAGTGATGAGAAACATTATCTCTCAAATTACTGCAAAGTGTTAATATAAGGAGAACTGCTGTTACTCTTCCTCTCAGACTGGTTTGCTGTCAGACTCCAGCATAGCTTAGTGGTAATTGAAATTGAGGTATCCTCAAGTCTTCTCTGACAGGTCTGGTCTGTTTGGGATACAAATAAAAATGGTAATGATGCCATTAAAATAAAAGAGGTGACAGAAACTTCCATCTTTTATTTATTTTTGGTTAGCAAAATTAGGGAGAGGCTTAGGTTATTAAGAAATTATAGTATCTTTAAAACCTACTAGTGTTAGTGTGATGTAGTTCACTGACCATTTGACCAAGTTAGGGAGGAAATGGAATATGTAACTCAGGAAAGGAGAAAGAAGCTCTTCACAACGGTGGTATCCAATAAAAATAAAATTAGCCAAATTTTATTTATTTTTATGTGTATGTATATTTTAACTTTCTACCACATATAAGAATGTTTGAGACATAGTACCTTGAAGAACACACAGGTACGTTGAAGAAGTGTAGTTTGGGAAGATAAAGCTTATTGTCCAGTGGAAAGTTAATGATGAAGAGCAAATAAATACGGTAATATAAAATAGTACCTTACTTGCTAGTTGAGCAGCAGACAGTGAACACCATGAATTAATAACAGGTAAGGTTGGGGCCGAGGGAAAAAAAAAGAGAAAAAAAAAAAAAAAGAAAAGGTAGTAGTCACCATGCTTTGGAACTATTAGAGCATTGTGAAGAAATAGGAACTTGACAGTGACAGTGGTGATAATAAGAATAGCAGCAAACACTTAAATGGCGGCTGTTTCTGTACACACACACACACACACACACACACACACACTCACACTCACACACTCACACTCTTTATATAGTGATGCCTTGATTTTTATAAAATTCAACTTTTTCCCTTATTTATTCTTTTTAAAAAACCAACATATAAAAATTGTGTATATATTTATGATGGTAACACCTTGATTTTTGAAAGATACTTCTGCTACGTGTAGTATTCTAGGTTGATAGGGTTTTTCGTTTTGTTTTCTTTTCTTTTTGACTTAAATAACAGAAATTTATTTTCTCACAGTTCCAGAGTCTGGAAGTGTCAAATCAAGCTGTTGGCAGGTTTGCTTTCTTCTCAGGCCTCTCCTCTTGGCTTGCAGATGGCCACCTTCTCAGCGTCCTTACATGGCCTTTTCTCTGTGCTTCCACACGCCTGGTGTCTCTCTGTGTTATAATCTTTTCTTATAAGGACACCAGTCAGATTGGATTAGGGCCTACCCTAACGAACCATCCTCTTTCCAAATGCAGTGACATTTCGAGGTACTAGGGATCTAGACTTCAACTTGTTAATTTTTTGGGGCAGACATAATTCAGTCTATAGACATTCATTTATATCTAATTTTAAAACCTGTCATTTTACAACCTGGAATGCTATCAAATTGCATATACTTTAAAAACATACGATGATATATATGAAAACTTCCGATTGAGTTTTCATTGTGATCCTTCCTCCTTTCTGCAATAGAAACAGGTCACTTTTTTGTCTGTAATATAGTTTTCAGTTCCTGCTTTCCAGGATTATTTTGGGTTAGGTTGACTTTTCATTTTTCTTTTGGTACTTTAACAGTGTTGCTCTATTCTATTTTTTTTTTTTTAAAACAGTCCAGAGGTGCTTGTGTGTGTGTGTGTGTGTGTGTGTGTGTGTGTGTGTTGTGTGTGTTTAACTGCTGTAATGCCATGAATTCATGGGAATAGCAGCTCAGGTTCCTTGGTAGATCAGGCTAGTTCTCCAGCTGAACCCAGGTACCTTTCTCTTTGGTTTCCTTCTTTTTCTGATTATTTTCTTTCAGATGTTTTTAGGAAGCTACCTTCTAAAAGCTTTTAGAGTGCTTAATAAACTCAATACATACATACGTTTTCTTGGTAAGAATTTTGGCCTTAACGTTGTTTAAAATAATGCCAGTAGCATGCAAGATGTAACATTGTAGACTCCTTCCACTTTTGCTGGGGGAATATTTGTGAAACATTTCTTTTTGAAAAGTGTCCATCCCCTAGCTGTCTCCAGTATCAGCTTTCTTTTAGATTTGCATGTATGTGGCCAAAGGATCTCCCAGTTTTCTAAAAGGCCTAGAGAACATATAGCAGGTGCCTCTTTTTGTGTGGGTCATTTTGGTAAGTTACTGGGAGATGGTAGTTCCGATTTCCACTGTCTTCTCGTTTGTATTGTGCCTCTGTTCATAATGTGTCCTTTTTTTCTGTGGCTCTTTTAAGAGTTTTTTTTTCTGATTGGCTTTAGTCAGTTTGATTATGAAGTTCCCTGCCGTATGTAGTTTTCTTCATGTTTCTTGTTTTTCGCATTGGGGAGCTTCTTAATCTGTATGGTTTTTAGTTTTCATCAACTATGGAGAATTTTGAGCCCTTATTTCCTCAAATTTTTCTTTCTATTCTTTCTTCTGGTGACTCCAATTATATATATTAATATAGTAGGTTGCTTCCTGTTGTCCTACAGCTTACAGATAGTCTTTTTCTTTCTTTAATTTGTTTTGTCTTTTTCCCCCTCTGTATTTCATTTTGGTAATTACTTTTGCTATGTTTTAGGTTCCTTTGTCTTCTGCAATTTCTAGCCTTCTTTTAGTCCCATCAAATGTACTTGTCTTATACCTGGTATTTTTTATCTCTGGGTTTTTGTTTTGTGTCCTTTTTATATATTACATGTTTTTATTTAAAATTTTCAGTGTTTTCTGAACCTCTATTTACTTTATTGTGCATAATATGGAGTTTACCATCCCAACCACTTTTAAGTGTATGATTCAGTGGTAGCAGTGGTAGAGTTCATATTCCATCACATACTCTTTTCACTAAACCATGCTTTTCTAACTCCTGTGTTTTAAATCCGTATTTCTGAGATGTCTTCTGGTTGGTAAATTAATTATTTAGGAGATGCCCTATAAAAGTGACTAAATTCATTGTTCTTTATATCTTTGGTTTCTTAATATATTGACATAGTTATATGTCTTTTAGTTAGTGTGCATCATTTCTCTGGTACCTTATTATTCCTGGGAGAAGTTAAACTTTCCTGAACCTGCAAAGTTGAATACCACCCTAAATTCTAGACTAGTGTTAATTTGACCTTAAGGTATATAGCACAGATGAGGGTTAGTCTGAAGAAGGCCTCAAACTGGCCTTTCCTTTAGCCTCTTAATGCGCTAGTATTCTTAGTATTCTTCATCAGTTAAAGGTTTAGTTTATGCACTGTTAGCTTTAAATTACTGCGTTCAGGATCTGAGGAAAATAGCTTGACTTATTCTAAGTCTCCTAATTCATTGAGAAATTTTGATGCATTTTTTTATTTTCATGCACTTATTTTGTTTTAGCCCTCTCTTATTATTCTGGAATGACATGTTAGCAGTCACAGGCCAGACATATCACATCCTACGGGCCTAAGCAAGTCAAAAATTACTTAAAATACATGATCACATAACATGTTTACTTCTTAAAGAAATTTAATTTTTATAATCTGTTATGGTAAAATATTTTTAAAGCCTGGGTGTTCCAGAACCTGTTCTACCTGTTATCTTTTAAGCGAGATGAAGACTGCATACCTGAAAGAGAAGTTCACTGGTAGACAGAATGCCAGAACTACTGAGAATAAGTCCTTGTTTATGTAACCTTTTAATTTGTTGAGTCTTTCCTTTTTTGGAGTACAGGAAATTAAATACTGTGGAAGACTTTGCCCTTCTCAGCTGTTCACATGTTCCCTATGCTGTAGAAATTCTTAATGCTACCTTTATTATTCTATGAATCTGGCATGGTTTTTCTCATTAGTAATTGGTAAAATATGGATATAAATTTAACAAGGAAAAACATTTAAAGTTGGTAATATTATATATACAAATGTATAAATTCTAAATTTTCTTGGTCTCTAAGAACTACCTGTCACCTTTCCTTCCACCTACCTTTGTTATTGGAGATATGTGGTCTGTCCAGAAAGTATCCAGCCATGCAATATGAAAAGTAGAGACATTTATTGAAGAAGTTACAAGATAACAAGAAACATGGTATATAGGACAGTGACTTCTTTTTCCCCTTCAAAGTAGACACCTTCGGACCTCACTCAGTTCTCCCAGAGTCTCTTAACCTAACACATATATATTCAACATTCTCAGGTGTTCTGCTTGTTGCAGGCTTCCCAGAACATGGATCACTTTCAACACACTCTTTGAAGCATTTGTGCCACACTTTTATTTGGGCTGCATGCATTGCATTGTCCCGAAAGCCTTATGAATCATTCGAGTAGTTCCTGCGGAGGAATGTTCAAGCTTAATGCAAAATTTGATGCAGATTCATTGCTCTACTTGCTCAGTCATTTTGAATGCGACGGCCACACAGTACACATGTTCACTCAATCGTGTCTAGTGCCCCACTGACTAGTACACTGAAATCATCATTGTTCATGCATGTGCATTACAGTCCACTTTCCTTAGTTGCCAGGTTACATCAATGTCATGCAAACTGTTCTTGTTGTATTAACAATGGCTGGACACTTTCTGGACAGCCCACGAATTTTTTTTTTTCTTTTTCTCATTTGCTTTTACAATACTTACCTGCTTCTCAAGTTTGAGTGCTACCTGTTGAAGGTAGTTGTATTTGATACTTCTTTTCAAGAGAGCTGTCCTAGGATATATCCAGACACACTCTGCCCAATATGGTAGCCATTAGCTACATGTGGCTAAGTTAATTAAATTAGTTAACATAAATTGTGTTCCTCAGTTGCACTAGCCTTATTTCAAGTGCTCAATAGCCACACGTGACTAGTGGCTACCATACTGGATAGCACAGATACATAGAACATTTCAAATGTCCTGTTGAATATCTGAGATACTTTTAATCGGAATGTGAACTGAAGAAGGTCCCTGGTACAGCTCTGTTTAGATAGATATATATGTCCTTTAATAATGTATT